ATTTGGGGATCAGGATGAAACCTGCAGTCCAATGCCACCTACAGTTACTACCTGCCACTCCTGCTTACCCTGGCTTCACTGCGCCTGCCTCAGGCTCGTGCCCAATCAGTTTCAATTGGGAGAAGCTCTCGCTGCCACAACAGTACTCACCAACTGTGAGCCCTGAGTCTGATGCCCTTCCAAGGGGAGTGGCCTGCAGGATCTAGCTGAAAATTGTTCTCCAACATCCCCCGAGGTGCCCTGGATTGCAAGAGGGCACAGGCCAGGCTGAGAGACTTCACTGGTGCACAATTAAGGCTGGGCAGGGACCTTGGGAGGGTTCCAAGTTTTGTCTAGCCCTGTCTTGCCCTGTCCTGATTGGGTCAATCAGGCTGGCCAGGGAGGGATGTGGGAGTTTGGCCAGCAAGGGATGGACCCTAGGAGGACTCCTGAGCATGTCTGGCCCATCTCACTCAGTCCCAAATCAGCTGGACCCAGCAGCAAGTTAATCTACTGGTCAGAGTGTATGTCCCCTGGTCATCAGTGCACGTTAGCAAATGGTTGACCAGTCTACTGTCTGCTCCCTAGTGGTCAGTGCACATCATAGCTAGTAGTTGAGTGGCTTTAGCGAATCATTAGCATATTATGCTTTGATTGGTTGAACAGTCAATCAGTCACCAGATGACCAAACAGTTAGCTTATTAGGCTTTTATTATATAGGACTAGCTAGTGAAACGTTTCCCTGAGTTCCGTGAGTTGCACTAGTGAGGAACCTGAGGAATGGGTCAGTTGGTCAGAAGCACAATTTACAACCTAGACTTGCAATTGGCATATGAAGTAGAGGCAAAAGCCTCTTGTGGAACTGATTGTCCAAGTACATGGTGTCAGAACTGAATTAAAATGTGAGGCACCCATCTATTGGTGCAGAATTGTTTAGTGTGGGATAAACTACTGGACACTTCTGATGACCAGAAATGTCAGAATTGAAAGAGTGTTATAGTAGAGTATGATAAAAATAGTAAATATAGTATGTTCTTCAGATTTTTAAGAGCTTTATGCTATTCTTTTCATCATAGTAAACCATCTGTAGAAGATTGGATACTGGGATTTTTTTAATTATCTTTTTTATAAACTGCTAATGAAAATAAAAGGGAGAAGACATAATGCATACTTATGATTAAAGATAGAAAGATATAGTATAAGAACAACATATCTGATCTCAACCTTCCCATATTTTGAAGCTGGCGCTCTATTTTGTTTTTTTATCTTTTTGAAAATTTCCTTCTAATTCTTTTGTCTAACCCTATTATAATTACAATTATGTATTAATAATGGAAAAGAAAAAAAGTTAATTTCTTAAAATGTATGAAATATACATACATGTTATCAAAATGTAAAGACTGGGAGATCAGAGTATTTATATCTTAGTACTAAGACAAATTATTTTTCATTTTCTTTCCTCAAGAATTAGAGCATATTTCTTACATTTCACAGTTAGATTATGTATATTTATGAAACCGTAGTGAATCAATCTGGGACAGCCATTTATTGTGGTTTTAACATTATTTGTAGGTTTTTCTTCTTTGTTTAGTTCTTCCATATAGAAAAACTATAGTGAACCAAACTCCTGTCATATATTCCCCTATGGCTTATATTTCAATGCCAACCTCATCTCTAACTAAATTTTATATTATCTACTTTCATTTTATATTTCTTTTTTTTTTAAACTTATTTACCTATTCTTATTTTAACATTTATAAGTTACTTTAAATAATTACTTTAATAAGGGAATGAATGTATATTATTTATTCCCAAATCTATGTACAAATAGGTCCTAGGTATGATTATTACTTGATAGCTCAGACTGAAAATACTTGGTAAAATTCTCCGTTGTATGTGTTCAAATGGTAATTAATGTTTGAAGGTGCTACATCTAGTATGTTGTTACTTAATTTCTAGTTTTCTCACCTGAAATTTCACAGGGAGTTCTCTATAGACACATTTGAATAACAAAGCCATATGAAAAACTGCACACATTTTAAAATCACAAATAAAATTTCATATAAAATAAAAATTTAACAAACCTCGTAAAGCAAAATCTAGAATGTATCACATCTCTCACTAATTTGAAATTACTATCTGTATTTTAGACATCCTTATCCATTATTTTAATTTCTAAAAAACTCAAGTTTCAAGACAGAGTTAGTAAAATCTTATACCAAAAATGTAGATGTAGTGTTTTTCTATACTATATATATTTTAAAATAGTATTATACTACTATATAATATTATTCTATAGGTCTTCTTTTAAAGCACAAAAAATAACATTTATAAAAATTCAATTTTCATAACATGCCACGAAAGGAACATCTGTAGTATTTATTACAAATTTTAAATTGAGAATTATTAAATTATAGAATAATAGAAATTAAATTATTGGATATTAGAACAATTACTCCTTAAACATATTATTTTGAAGGGATTTTTTTGGTCATTAATTCTAAAAAAATAGATTTTATATACATTAAATTTAAGTATAGCTTTGGGTTTAATTACAATAGCAGATAAGCATAATGAATCTTTAATTTTAGATATGAAATTGTATGATTGAAAAATTACACATTTTCAACTCAATTCTTTTTCATTACTATTCTGATAAAATACCTCCAAAGGAAATATGGAGCTTTAAACCTACCAAAAAGGTTACCGTCTTGACATAGAAAGCAGAGAACACATTGCATGTAATTGAAATTGCAGAGGAAATTGAGGTATGCTGAATGTAATTACCAAAATTAGAATTTGGACAACAAACATATTTATACTGTATGACCAATAAGCCAGGATTATGACTGTTTAAACATTCTATGTCATTCTAAGGATATTACTATATCCTTAACTCAATAAATGTGGCAATATTAAAAGAACTAGCATCCATGACCTTCTATAAACCATTACTAACCATAAATCCAGTAAGTATGTATGTGTGTGCATATGTGTGCATGTACATATGTATTTTGTATGTTTTTGCTTGTGTGAATATATATATACATATTTATACACATATATATATATATACCTGTGCCTGAAATACAGTAAGATTTTAATCATTATTTTATCTTATACACACATATGTGCATGCTTATATACACATATATTAAATACATATATAAGTATAACATCTACATCTATATTCATATTACATATATGTAAGACTGTAGTTGACATGTATCATTTATTAATAATACAGTATTCTTAGTGTAGGGATTTTAACATGATCAGTCTTGGATTACTATGATTTTGAACTAGAAATCATTTAGCTTGCCTTTACTATCAACCTATCATCAACTTTTGCTAAATATGTCTTTGAGGCTGGCTGGAGTGTAGAAAGAGGAGTATATTCAATCTAGAGATGACTTCTATAAAAACAAACAGTGTCTAAATGTATACATGGTAAAAGTAGGGTTTTCCTTCCTTTCTATTTTTTAAAAGAAATAGTTCTAGTTTGAGGTGATGTAGATATCATTTCTTGTCTGGGTAACACTGGGCAGGGGTGGCTGAACATTTCCAAACTGACAGTATTTCTTCTAGAGACGTGGTATCCACACAACCGAGGAGGCCACAGGGACCAACTCTCCAGGTGTGCAAGCTGCTTTTACACTGAAGAAACACAGACATGTTTTCTCTGCCGAAATTAAAATGAAATCACCACTTTCCTGGTTAAAGAGGTTTTAGTTAGTGAAGATACATACAACCAGGGGGAGGATTTTAAGTAAACACCTCATTTTGTTTGTTTAAAAAAAAATGAATTGTTCCCTTATTGTCACAATGTAAATTCAAAAATGTTGAGGGATATTTTCTGAAAGCATTTAATTTAACAAAAGAGGGAATTTATAAAAATCTATTTCATAGCAAAAGTACTTTGAGTCAGATTTAGAAAAAGTATTATGTTTACTTTAAAATATAATCAGCTATTTGGCCTTGATTAAATTTGGGCAGATTGATGATTTATTTCAATTACTGAGATATAAAACTTTAAAGTTGAATACAGTTCTGGAGACTCTAATTACATTAGTATTAAAAATGCCACATTAATATATGAGAAGATATGTTCCATTAAAGGCCTTCTGTTATATCCTTAGAGAGGTAAATAAAATTAATTACATTTCTACTGGGAGAAAGTTTAATTTGGTAGGAAATATGTACAGAAAAATATCACCAAGGATGGAATGTTAGAGTAAAAATTGGAAAAAAAAATACATGTTATCAGCATAGTGTCTGCAAGCACATTCATACTACTAGCTATTCCAAATGTGGAGAAGTAGATGGCAAAATTCCCCATATGGGGCCCACATGATAACTTCATGTGTGGGCACGAAAATTAGGCTTTCTTTTATCCCATACACTCTTATTACTTGGCTCCATGCTCTCTGTTATTGTTAACTGCAAGTATTTTTGATTCATAATGTACTGTACATAAAATATACATCCTGAGGACTACATAGGAAATCCGTGGAAAGTTTTGTATGGCTTTTTGAAGTCTATTCTTTGAAGAAACCCTATTAACTGCAACAAACTTACTTATGAAAGAAGAGATGTTTTTGGATTCTTTCATACTAGATGTATTTAAGTGGCTAAACATATCATTTCCTCACTGGAAGTCCAACAGTTTAAAAATAACTAAATATTTATTAGAACTAGTGTGCCGTCATTTAGTAAATCAGACAAGCTTAAACATTTAAATTCTTCCCATTAGTCAGTGATAACAAGAACATTTAGGCATTGTGCGTTTTAAAGCACCTAGGTCATTTTCATGTAAGTGGTTTTTGAGACTTATCATACAGATTGTGTATTTCTAAACCGATTTGATTAGTATAGCAAGTTTAAAATCTTAACTTGCTGGAAGAAGTTCAATACCATGGTTCAGCCAAACTCATAAGTAGCTTACACTGGAGTAGTATGACTTTGAAAACTCTGCAACTGGGTTTTTATGTTCCTTTCTTGCAGTTTGCTAAAAGGCCTACCTGGATGTTAGTCAGCAGGGTCTCTATGGAAGACAATCCGTCAGGAAACAGAAAAGGAGATGGAAAACCGGGAGGCAGTGGTTGTCCATGCCCAGTTAGAGAAAGTTTGTCGAGGCTGTCTCTTGCAGTTGGTGTGGAAAGCGGGGTCTCATCTGTATGTGATTGAAACAAAAATATAGAACAAGTTACGCTTGTCTGTTTTTATTAGACCTCAGTAATGGCTTCCCTAGTGGTTTCCAGAACATTTATTGCAAATTGGTTCCTGCTATCAGGAGAAAATGCTTTCTGCTGAATTTTCTTTAATGAAAAAGCTGTGGAGATACAACAAGATAACATTAATGAGTAACTTTATAAGCCTTTTAAATGCAGTCTCTAATGAGACTGAGTTTACAGTGCCATAGAATCTTTTTAAAACAAATATTATCTCATATATAGTTGTGATAATATATTCAGGCTGACTTTATGGGCACCTTCCCAATTATCTCATTTTAGTTTGCTCTGTTTGGATTGACAATAGAATCTTTCTAGAGCTCCATATAAGAGAAATACGTTGCATATTAGTATGTTTCTTTCTCAATTAACCCTTTACGTCAATGATTTGTTCAAATATATTCATAGAAAATCTACAAAAGATTGTACAAATAAAACCTTTCATTTCACATCTAAAGAGACAAAGTGGAATCAAATACAATCATTCTAAGTTATCAGTGAATTGTTCAGTTTCATTAAAACTTAAGGTCTAATTCTTCTTTTTTAATTTTTATTGTTGAAAGTATTACATATATCCCTTTCCCATTTTTCACCAGGCCTTCAACACCCTATTATCAGTGTCCATGGTTATACATAGAGGCATGCAACTTCTCTGGTTGATCTCTTCTCACCCATCCACCCTCCCTGAAGAAGGGTTTTAAAGAAGTTTAAGATAATACAGCTTCCATAACAATATTTTTAAAAAACAAATATAAAGTCCTCTAAGATAAATCAGTCTTTACTTTGTTTATTGACTATCTTTCATCATTTTAAGCAACTTACAGTAATGCCCCAATATAAATTATATTTACTTTTATAATGAAATCTTTTTATTTAGTTCTTTATTAGTTAAATATGTTCAGTTTCATTTGAGATAGATACAAAGTATGGCTATTTTAGTTTATTATATCACAGAGAAGATTTTATTCATGGCAGAATTCTCAGTTTTATAAATATTTTACTTCACACCAGGAAATTAATTAGCACAATGTATTTGCACAATCCTGACAGTATTTCTCAATTTTGCAAGTGGCTAGAAACTTCAGCACACCTGCATTTATGCTTATAATTTGATTCCACTGTTCTCAATCATTTCTTTATTTTTCATTGCAACACTTAACCACACAACATGTTTTCCAATTGCCTCTCTCTGGGGCAGAAGTATATGGAAGCTGCTACTCTTCTCTGTAACTAATGTCAGAACAAGTTAAATCCATCTCCCTCACCTTGCCACATTTCTAGTTAATCAACTAAAAGGGAAGAAAAGTTGGGGAGGAGAACAATGAACACAAGGACTTCTATTAATCACACTCTTCCCTCCCTCCTTCCCTCCCTTCCTTCCACCCTCCCTTCCTCCCACCCTCTCACCCTTTCTGCCTCCTTCTCTCCCTCCCACCCTGCCTGCCTCCTTCCCTCCCTCCTCTGCAGTTTCTCCTTCCAGTCCCTCCTCTGAAAACTTACTAACAGATGCTCTGAGGCAGCAGGTACCAGGAGGAAGAAATGGAGTAAGCAGCTGAAGTAGGATTCATTGGGATCTTATTTTCTTTTTTAAGTTCATTTGTCAACAGGGTTAAAGAAAGACAGCAGGGCATGGCTAATGTGATCAAGGTGTTCTTGGACACCATTTACCTCGCGGTCATAAATTACTCCTCCGGACCAAGGCTGCTAGTGTTTTCCCACAACATCTCTGCAAAGGTGCTTGCTAAACATCTTTGTGCATGTGAAATTGTTTAAGAATGAAGAGCAATATTTTTTGATCAGCATCACCTTAGCTGTCACATGCTAAAGAACATGTGGCTTAATAGATCATGGTGATAATAATTGCTTGTCTCCTGAAGAAAGTCATAGAACCAGATGAGCACCTGAAATTGTGTTCAGCTTTAGTCTGTGACTCCACATTTCTTAGAGGTTATCCAATATAAAAAGCATCATATGTATGGGTACACACACACTCGCACATACATCCACCTTTATTTAGAAGTTCCATCATCCCATGATGATTGAAACTTCAAAACATTTAAGTTTGAGTAGGTTTGCTTATTGTGTGAGTTAATTAATTAAATCACTCGTGATACATGCATTCATGTAGCCAAAGTTTACTTAACATAAATAATGTGCTGGGGATAGACACCAGAAAGAGAATACTGAAAACCCCTTCAATCTGTAAGCCTCACGAAGCATTTTCTAGAATGACCAATCCCAATCATTAAATACCTAATTATTATATAGTTAGCAAAGCATTTTGTCTTTCATCCTTATCCCATTACTACTCATTTTTCTCAGTATAAGATTAAAATTGTGCTTCATGTTTTTTCTGCAGTTGCTTAAACTGAATGCTCACCTTGGTTCTCATGCTCTCAGCTATATGTGAGTAGACTATTATTTGGTATAGACTAATTTGATTTAATTAATTCATTTATTATTTTACATGGTAGAGATATTACATACAGTCACTTTAACTCTAACAAACAATCAAATTTAGGGAAGAGCGAGTGACTGCTTAAAAAAATCTTTTTAAAGGGTAATTCTTAAGATCAATAAACATTATGTAAATGAAAACAAACTAATCAAAGATAAAATAAACAAGACTAAATATTTTGGGGTATCAAAACCCTACTACCTTAGAAGAAGTTGTCATCTTGTGGCAATTAGCATCATGGAAAGTCTTATTTAGTCTTTCTACAAAGAGTAAAATTGAGAACAGGATTCTTCCTTTTAAAGAAAAGTGACCTTTGATATCCTAAATGTTCTAAGAAGATTAAAGCAAAAGTTTGAGAGACCAGACAACATGGACATCACATAAACTCTAGACTTCAAACAATGAATGATGCTGAAGCACAAATCCACAAAGAACATTATTCCAATTTTGTATATTGTACATATTTTTTAGTTTTATCTTTAAAAGAAGGTTGGCATGTAAGATATTATGATCTTTGACTATAGTATTTGACAATGTAATCTGTTTTTCATTCTTTAAAATTGTGCTCCTAAATAATGTGTAACTTATGGAAAAGTTACAAGAATGGTACAAAGAATTCCTTTATAATGCTATGGTTGGTTGGATAGTAGACCCTCAACATACCTGTCCTTGTCTAATCCCTGGAACCTGGTAACGCTGGCTTATTTGTAAACTGGGATTTCACAGATGTAATTAAGTTAAGGCTCTTGAGATGAAGAGATCATCCTGCTTTTAGGAGGCACCCTAATTCCAGTCTTTCTTTAAAAGAGAAAGTCAGAGGGAGATTTGAGAGAGACAGGGAGGTCCACAGAGTAGAGAAGGAAGCAAAGAGAAGACAGAGAAGGAGATCAGAAGTTGAAGCCAGTCACAGAATGCTGACAGCCAGGAGAGCTAGAAGAGGAAAAGAATAGATTATCTTTGATAGCCTCTTGGAGATAGCTTGTCCTGCAGACACCTTGAGTTTATACTCCTGGCCTCGAGAACTGTGAGGAAATAAATTTATGTTGCTTTAAGCCACCAAGATTGTGGCCTTTTGTTACAAGAGCCTTGGGAAACTACTTCAACTCTTTACCCCAAGTCACCAATTTTTCCATTTTCCCGCATTTGCTTTTAATCTTTCTGTCTTCTCTCTCCCTTTCTTGTTCTGTGTGTATATATGTTTTAACCATTTTCTACTTTCAATCCTTAAGACTTCACTGCATATTTCACAAGTACAAGGGCATACTCTTCCATAGTATAAAATGAGCAAGAATCACATACACAGACTACTATTATTTAATCAAGGGCCCACATTCTATTTTCATTATTTGTGAGGTGTTTTTGTGCAAAGAGTTAAATAATATGACTGGCCAGGGAGGGTCGATGGTTGAACCATGGTCAAGAGGTCACTGGTTTAAATAACAAATAAATATTTTAATTTACTTGACAGGTACCTGGGGACTATTTTGTCTGGGCATGTAGTAGTCCCTAAGATAGCCTCTCATGATTATTCTCTACTACTACACTTATTCTCTCAAGAAGTATCCCGTTAGTCTGAGTTAGACCTAACAAATAGAATAAAACAAATGTGATGGGATGCCATATCTGAGATTAGGTTATAAAAAGCCTGCAGTTCCCATATCTCTTTCCCTCTTTTTCTCTTGCATTTCTTACCCTGGTGGAAGCCAGTTATCATGTCATGAGACAGCTCTGTGGGGGTGACATGACAAGGGATGGAGGCCTGTCAAAATCACGAGAGTCAGTTTCAAAGCAGATTCCCCTTGCACAGCTTAGATTTTGTTTAATTTTTTATTTTATTAAATTGATTGGGGTGACATTGGTTACTAAAAGATATATGTTTCAAGTATACAATTTTAGAATGCATCATCTATACATTACATTGTGTGTTTATTACCCAAAGCCAGCTCTCCTTCTGCAACCATATATTTTATTCCCTTTACCCTTTGCCCTACCGACCCCCAATCAACCTTCCCTTCTCCTCTGGTAACCACCACACTGTTGTCCATGTCTATGAGTTTTTGTTTGTTTGCCTGGTTTATTCATTTGTAACTTTAAGGGTTTTTTTTTTAGTAATTTTATTTCACATATGAGTGAAATCATATGGTTCTTGACTGTTTCCTACTTATTTTGCTTAGCATGATATTCTCAGGATCCATCCATGTTGTCCCAAATGGTAGTGTTTTATCTTTTCTTAAGTCAGAGTGCTCTTCCATTGTATACAAGTACGATGTCTCCTTTATGTCCCAGTTGAGCCCAGCTGACAGCATAACTGCAACTTCATCAGAGGCCTTAAACCAGAGGCACCCAGCTAAGTTGCACCCAGATTCAAGATCCATAGGAATTATGAGATTTTTAAATGCTTACTGGTTGAAGCCACTAAGTTTAGTTGTAATTTGTTACACAGCTGTAGATAAGTAAAACAGTATGTAGCAGGTGGTTTTTGTT